TCAACCGAATTGGAAGCCTCCAACAATGCGATGGCCCTATCTCACATTGCTGATTATAATATCGGTCGGGTTGGCTATTGCGCAGGAATACCTTTTCCAACGATTTCATGAAAAGCCCATAGTAAACTTCCGGGCACCTAAAGATATAGACACCTTTGTCTATTTTGCAATCAAATTCTTGCCGACAGTAGTCGCGGTTACTTTCGGCGTGTTCTGGCAGTTTACTGACTTCGAAGTCCGCCGCCTGGAGGCTTTCTACCAGCTATCCAGACAGCAGGGTGCTCTGGCTTCCAAGTCAATCAATGCCGACTATGTCACAAGTTACAGCTTCTGGCGACCTTTCCGAGCAATCAAGCTCGGCCACTATGCGGTAGCTTTGTCTTCCTTTGCCTCAACACTCGCCGTTTCCCTCGTACCAACCTGTGCAGCTGCGTCGATCATACTCACACCGAGCCGCAAGGAGCGCATGGAAAACCCCAGTAACATGAAGGAGATTTTTGTGGCCTCGGTCTGGTCGCGACTTTTGACGGTTACTTTGGTGTTATGTGCAGCCATGGGGTGCGGCTTGCTATATGTTTTACAAACTCGACGATCAGGCCTACTTTCTGATGTCAGAGGCATTGCTGGCCTAGCCAGCATGGCTGTAGTGAGCCATGTCTTGATGGACTTTAAAGATATGGACACAGCCAAGCATAAAGACATTCACCAAAAGTTGAAGCGTCGCCGATATATGCTGAGAAATTCATCGCTTGCACCTTACGAGGGCACAAGCGCCAAGGTGGAAACGGACAGCGAACAGGATGACGGCGCCCATCTCTCGGAGCACCCGCATCCCCTGATGCTACGTCCAATGGGATGTATCCCTTTCATCATTGGGTTGATCCTCTTTGTAGCATTGATCCCAACATTTCTCTTCACTCCCGCCCAGATCATCACAGACAAGGCTGCCTGGGTCGTCACAGCGTTAGCTGTCATCCTCAAGCTGTGCTGGGGTGCGATGGAGACATCCGTTCGTATGATGGAGCCTTACTATATCCTTTCAAAGCGACATGCGCACTCAAAAGTTCTTACCCTTGATTACACCGCACTGCCGTTTGCTTATATGCCGCTGCGAGCGCTCTTGAACGGCCACTTTCTAGTGTTTCTTGTTGGGTTCGGTAGTGTCATGGCTGAGTTCCTGACGATCCTTGTAACCAGCCTTGCAACAGTGGATGGGCAAGAGTTTATCACAGGATATGGAATGAATAAAGGGAAGTGGAAGGATGATAAGGAGAATAGCGAATCACTCAACTCTGGACAAGAGACGATACGCTCATTCTATATCACCCTCGGCGCCACATTATTCATACTGATATACATGTTTGTTGTCTCAAACATGGTGTTCTTCCGCCGACGCCATCCTTTCCTGCCGCGTCAGCCCAACACTATTGCGTCAATTCTGGCTTTTATCCACCAGAGCAAGATGTTGTACAATTTTGTGGGCACCTCGAAGCTAAATAACGCAGAGATGGCGAAGAAGCTTGATGACGGTAAGACGTATGGACTAGGATGGTTTACTGGAAGAGATGGACAGACTCACTGCGGAGTGGACCAGGAGGAACTGACTAGTTCTTACAAGCATGGTGTTGACTATACGACGATGAACAATCCGTGGAATGCACAGTGGGATGTGCTGTAGAACGCGCAATATATGTTAAGATTATGGAAACAGATATGTGCATGGCCATAGTTCGGCAGGTATACACAACATTTGGACGGCTCAAGGCTGGAGTTTGGTATATTAGACATTGGGCGTTGGCGATGAATTCTATGGTTCCGTTTTACCCATTTCTTATCTGAGGCCTACGTTGCTGGAGTTTGAGGATCTCTCGAAACAGAGGCATCAAGATAAAGAAAGGCATGGCTTTGTCTAGGAATGCGACGAGCGAAACATGTAATGAGACTCGGATGAAGATGAACCGAAATGGCGACGATTCATATTCTCGCTTGGTGTAATGCTCTTGGGTCTAACACGTGCTGGGCATGAATTTTGAATGGATAAACACGTCGATCATACTTGCTATCTTCGTATCAGAGGGTTTCGAGTTGACGCGTCCATGCCCACATTAGTAGTTTTTGACGCTTATGTTTGAGAAATGTGTCGCCTGTCCAGTAACAAGACCAGTGACATTCCCCAGGTGGATTACGCCGGCCTTTCCATGCGTAATGGATCTCCTTCTCTTCAATCTCAATGTCTCTGTACTCCGTACAGCGTTCATTACAGTGGCACATCATCGAATACTATTGGCTTCTGGAATATACCCCTGAATATCGGGGCTGTGAGGGGTTGGAGATCTGGAATGTGAGATATCCAATAGGGAAAGAGAGTGGACGATTCTGGGTTTGATGAGCAGAATTTCCACTGTTGAAAATGACTACGATAGTGTGGGAACGGCTGACGTTGGCTATCTAAACTCAATTGTGGCTATTGGCATCGTTGTCGAGTTTGAGATTCATCTGATAATTTTGGTCAGATATTCTCCGAGTATAGAGAAGTTGACCCAAGCTATGCAGACAATTGAGAGAAGCATTGCTTAACCCTTCGTTTGCGTGGTGTTCCCTCTAAGGATGCTGGCCGCCAATCTCATCTGCCAATGAGCTTAACTACTCTGTGTGAAACGGAGTTCTAGACGATTTGCAGGTGACAGAAGAATGAGAGTCTTGGCATCATCATTGAGATTGATTTCATTAAAGTCTATCGACAACTCAAAAACTGAGCTTGATTTCGACATTTCTTCAGACGAGGTCAGAATCAGAGGTACTCATGAGTCTGACAGGGGCAAAATTTAACTGTCTCAGTACAGATATTCACCACATTCTCCCACTCGTGATAGTGAGTGCCTCGCATCCATGCAGGATTTTTCCTGTAGACCTACAGACAGACGGAGATGCCGAAAGTACTGTTTCCAAGAAAAACACGATATTAGCCCAAGAACAACCAAGACAGGACGCGACAGCATCTAAGTACACAGCCTCTTCACACCTGACTATCACAATTCGCTCGCCATTGCTGTCACTGTGTGTGCTTTTCTGAAATCGGTGCGTCTTGGAAGGCCTGACACCTGAATTGGCACACCTGAAGGGGACGAAGTAGGATATGCAAGGCTTTTGGAGCAAGGGCCACACCCCTTCGGGCATCGGCAAAGTTACAGAGACTTCCTCTGAGGAGGCCCTGAGGCTGTGCAAGCCTCAGTTAATTAAACCCATCCTGTAACAATGCGAAGCTGGCTCATGGTTACCGGAGGTGGCATCCGCATCATGGCAATTTTGGCTTACCTTATTGTTACAACATTTATTATTGTTCGTATTCCTCTGAGGGCATGGGAAATCGCCCAGGTCTTGGCTTTTGACGGCTTTGTTGACAAGCCTGCTACAGACCAACCACGCGACCTTTCAGAGTCGTCGACATAAAGATTAGCTACACTACTGCATGTTATGGCACAAAAACCGGAAACGCTGATGTTTTTCAATGCCCGAATCGTGGATCACGCATCGAAAGACCAAGGAACGCCTGGTGACCTTGTTTATCTTATGCAGCGTGATGTCGCCTCTGCTATAGCAACTACCTAGTCCTGCCAGCCTCTTTATTACCAACATCTGTTGAATGCGTTTGTAGTAACGGCGCAATCAAGATCTACGGCAACAATTGGGTCGTTACTCACATTTCACTCAATCGACGTTTTAGCCAGCCCGAAACATCCGTCCTCGGTACGTATAGCATATCACTTTATACACGGAGTGAACAGACAAAGTTGGACTTCGTCTCCCAGGGGTAAGGCCTTGTTGCTGATGGGGAACAAAGTGTGTACCCACAAAGTATATACTGTTAGAGTCGATACGAGATCGTCACCCCATATCCACACATGCATCCGTGGTATTGACTTTCACTTGGCCCAGCGCTTGGCCACATTCCAAGTACCTGCACAGCCTCCAGATTGTTGACCTAGGGGGCATGCGCCTGAGACGTGCTAGCATTGATACACTGCGTTTGGTAGTTGAATACGACGCAACGAATGTGAATACGACAAAACGTATTATTTCTTGCCTTTGGCTTCGACCTTGCGACGGCTGAGCACTGCCAAACCCCTCTCACTATTGCTGGCAACAAAGTGAAGGAAACCCTCATCAGTTGAACCGGTTCTTCAGAGACAAAGGCCGTGTCTCTGTGCAAAAGACTCCCCTATCACACATCACACGCAGGACCCAAGACCAAGCTAAACCAAACCTGTCCCCCCAGGGCCCGCTTCACCGCACTCGTGAAGGGCCACCCGCCCCCTGGCCCCCTTCGACTGCACCGCGTACGCATCAATTTACTCGCTAGGTAAGGTACTTGCCGCTATTACGAGCGCCGACCAGGCCAGGTCGTACCTGCTTTCCTGTTGCCGCTGCCATTGCAACCCAGGTTCCCGATCCCTCCCTCCCTTCCACCTCACTCCTCCCCTTGGCTGTTGCCGCTGGTCTTCCTTTTCCCTCTCGTCTTCCCCCACACAACAACTCCCATTTCATTCATCATCCGCGACAACGGAAAAAAACCTGCCCATATCGACGACGACGAGACGACTAAACGCTGTCTCTTTCAGCCACGCCTCGTCGCGGAGACGATTTCTCGCCTCGGGCTTTCGCTAATTAACTTTACTTCTTTCTTTATTATCGCCTTACTCCGTTCCTAATTCTACACCAATTGCCGCGGCCTCACTCTCGCTATCAATCTATCCAAAGTCAACCCGGAAGAAATCCACGTCTTTGGAAGGTCATAATCCGTCGCCATCGCCGATACTTTGTCGACCACCTCTGCCGTGGGCTTTGTTTTGACTCATACTAGTAATCTTGGACTATTAGAAGGATTGGAAGTGCACTGTCAACAACCACCCCTGGACTTGTGACGACGACAACCAACCATCAACCGAACGAAACGACTCGATCGACAAGGAATCCGATCATCACTGGGATACGTGGTTACGATGTGGTCTTGTATTATGAAACCACTGGCGGTTCTCGCCTCAGTGGCTGCCCTGGCCTCACCCGTCTCTGGAGAGAAGATTCTTTACTCCAACTCGCTCAACAGTTGCCAAAAGGATAACGGTTTCAAAGCTACGCTCTTCAATGTCGCCTTGACACCGAACAATGGCTCTGCCTTTGTTAAGGCTGTGGCTACCTCTTCCATCCAGGGCAAGGTCATCTTCGACATTCGACTCTCGGCATACGGCTACCAGTTCCTTCAACAGACCGTAGACCCTTGTACGATCAACCTTGCTGGTCTCTGTCCCATGGTTTCTGGAAAAATTCCGTTCAAGTTCAACTTGCCAGTCGGCAAAGAAAATCTCAAACAAGTACCCGGAATCGCCTACAGTGTTCCTGATCTCGACGCTACCGTCCGCGTTTATGTGAACATGTCCAGTACTGGCGAGAGCGTCGCTTGTGTCGAAGCTGATTTTTCCAACGGAAAAACAGTTGATCTCAAAGGTGTCAAGTGGGCTACTGCCATCATTGCCGGCCTCGGTCTGATCTCTTCTGCCGTTGTTTCTGGAGTTGGCCACGCCAACACTGCTGCACATGTCGCTTCTAACTCGCTTTCCTTGTTTGGCTACTTCCAGGCACAGGCCATTCTTGGTCTCACCAGCGTCGGACTCCCCCCAATCGTCTCCTCTTGGACTCAGGACTTCCAGTGGTCAATGGGAATCATCCGTGTTGGTTTTATGCAGGACATTTTTACGTGGTACCAACGAGCAACCGGCGGCACACCCGAGTCTATTCTGTACAATGTTCGCCAAGTGTCGGTTGAGGTTCAGAAGCGAAGTTTGCAAGCTGCCTCTACTAGTATCGATCTTTTCAAACGCAGTGCCGCCATGATGCCTCGAAGTATCACGGAGCCCATCGGTCATGCTGCTGGGGCACTCGCCAAGCGCGCCAATATCCAAACCGAGGATGGCACTTATATCGTGTACGGTATTCAGCGAGTCGCTTTCAAGTCGAAGATTGAAACCACCAACCTGTTCATGACGGGTCTCACTTTCTTTTGCATCTTCGTGGTTATCACATGTCTAGCTATTGCTGCTTTCAAGGGTGTGTGCGAGCTGTGCGTTCGTCAGAAGTGGATGGCCCCAGACAAATTTTTGGAATTTCGAAACGGCTGGATGACTGTCCTTAAGGGCATTCTCTTCCGTCTGACACTCATTGGCTTCCCTCAGATGGTCATTCTTTGTTTGTGGGAATTCACTCAACAGGATTCGCCTGCTGAGGTCGTTCTCGCTGTCTTCTTCCTCCTGGGAATGACTTTCACCCTCGCTTGGGGCGCCAGCAAGGTCATTCGCATCGCTCGCCGTTCTGTTGCCATGCACCGCAACCCAGCCTACATCCTTTTCTCGGATCCCCAGGCCCTCAACAAGTGGGGTTTCCTCTATGTTCAATTCCGAGCCTCTGCTTACTACTTCATTGTTCCCGTCCTTGTCTACACTGTGGTCAAGGCTATGTTTGTTGCATTGGCTCAGAAGAACGATGTAGCACAGGCAGTTGGGTTTATCATCATTGAGGTCGGTTTCTTAATTGCTGCCTCGGTTCTTCGACCTTGGATGGATAAACCGACCAACTCGTTCAACATCGCGATTGCTGCCATCAACTTCATCAACGCCATCTTTCTTCTCATCTTTTCTAATGTGTTTGGGCTGCCTAAGATCGTTGTTGGTGTCGTTGGTGTCGTGTTATTCGTTTTGAATGCTGCATTCGCGCTCATTCTTCTTCTCATGCTTATCGTCTCAACGGCCTTGGTCTTTTTCCGCAAGAACCCTGATGCACGATACCAATTCATGGCCGATGATCGTGCCTCTTTCATGAAGTCTCAAACCCAGGTCAACGCCACAACCGAGCTTGATGCTCTTGCTGCTACTGCCCGAGGTGACAAGGCTGGTTATAGCAACAAGCACCTCGATCTCGATGAGGAGGACTCGGTGTCGTCAGAGAGCTTGAGAAGGCGGGCGGAGATGAACAACCAGTCCCAAACATCATTTCAACGGGGCGATGTTCCTCCCCGGTCTCCTGTGAACCCCGCGATGCCGCTTTTCCCTGCTGACGGACAGCGACCAGCAAGCCCGTTCCGCAATGCATCACCAAACCCATACCAACAGTCAACCTCCAATCTCTCTCAACAACGGTCGGCAGGTGACAGTAGCCCAGGCGGTTACAGATCACAGAACAATGCAAGGTAAGCTTTCACGATTGACGAGTTGAGTGATGCACCTGCTGACCCCTCTTTAGCCCTTGGCAACGTGGTGCTGGTTACGAGCACTAATTGAAGTAATTGAGGATCTATCTACTTATCTCATGACAAGCTTACATCCGAGACCTCTATCATTATGAGCGAAGGCTTCGGGTTTGATGACTTTTTGTCAAAAGCGAGCCGGCCCAATAGCATTAACACATCGAATTTTCTGCTATAGACGATGAGAGTTAGCTCTCGACTTAAGCCATTAATCGATATTGACCACGCCAAGACCGTGTTTTCTTTTTTCCTTGTTTGTTTCGTCCTACTTATTTTATTTTTGGATGGTTTGTCGAAAGCATGACGATGGCGTCTGCGTTGAGACCCGGCGTTGGCGATTATCGAAACCCTAGTGCTCTTGCGAGTATTTGCTTTGTATATATAAACAGTATCGGGAAGGGATGAGGAATGCACTTTTTTCACTGGATTGGGATGGCTTAGGCACCAGTTCACGTTCGATATCCGAGGTAGTATGCCACAGCTTAGAGGATGTGGCAGTGGGAAGCTTGACTTCCCATTACTCGTACCCAAAACAAAAACAAAAAATTCCAATAACCAGATTGTTGTCCAGGTGAAACACAATGGCCCGGAATAGCCTCCTAAGTCTGCCTGAGGTTGAAGTTTGAACGCAAGCCGTGAAAAGTGCGTTACTTTATTCATCTATTGAAAAAGGCCTTACTAGTGACTGGGACTTCGGTGGTTGACGGAGAAGTAATTGTCCATGGAGACTGCATCCAATGTATCTTAGCTCACTGCTCGGTATGGACGATGCAAAACCAGCCATCGTAGGGATTGAAAGACTCGAATACTCATCCACACTTCCATGAAACACCTCGGACGTTGAAGAGAAACACCAAATCCCTAGCCTCCCCAACCATCCGTATAAACACAATGATTATTCCATATCTGAGCGGAATAGTAAGGCTTTCTGTCTAAACGAGAGGCTTGAAGTTATAGTGAGAAAGAGACAAAACAAGACTGCACTAAGTCCTGTGGTATGACTATTGGTACATGACGAATGGTATATAGGTAAGGTACTTAAGCAAGCAAACAAGCGAGGCAGAAAAGATCAAATTCAAGAAATGGAATTTTGTGAGACCACGAATGTCTCTGGACTAGTAGGCTTTGAAAGCCACAAGACTTGTTGACGGGAATTGCCAAAGGGAAGACCTAGGTAGATACTTAGATATAGTTGATGGACTGATGAGGCTGAGTGAGGATCTCTCGTGTTCGATTCAAGTCCGATAAAAAAAAAATGCGCAAAGGCTTGAGATAAGGTTAAGAGGGTGAAAAAAGAGAGATAGAAGATTATTGAGGAACACCGTCGTTGAGAGTTATGATAATGAAAAGGTCAGCGCCTGTCGCAGTTGGCGATAGATGTCGTTTGTTGTCGTGATAAATGCTTGTTAGGTAACCTCATAGAGGTAAAGCTCCAGGTCCCTCCGTACCCCCTTTCCATTTCCCTTTCAACGCCCACCCTTCCTTTAGCTCCGATGCAAATTGGGATTGTCTCACCGCCAACACCAACGCCTGCCACTTGATTTCTTAGTCCTCCCACGTCAATTCATATTCTTCCCCTCACCCTCCTTTCATCTCTGCATCATCAACTCTTTATGGATGTCATAAAATGTGAAGTTGCATCTGAAAGACGCTGCGGCAAGTCCCGACAGCCACCTACGTGGCCTCATGCAGGAACCAAGAACCAAAATTCGATAGACCCGATTTAGATTGAATTTGAGGGGTTAAAACGCAAAGCCTTGTTCCATCAGCTTGTCGACGTCGCCACCTGCTGCTTGCACCGCTTTCATGGCCGCCTCACTTAGTCGTCGCCTCCGTTCCATCGCCTCACGCTCTCTTCGCGCTTTGGTCTTGGAACTGCCGCTCGGCGCAACACCTGTCATTAGGAGACCGCCGTCGCTGGGAGTAAAATTGACGAACCCGATCTCGCTGCCGCCTCCACTGCTGCCGCTTGCATCTCGAGACCGTCGTTGCTTGCGCATTGCCGTGGGAGTCCCCGGTACTATCCCTCGACCTGAGGCGCTGCGAGCTGATGCGACGGACCCATTGGAGCTATGGCGCGAGTGTGCTGTGGCGGGCGTGGGTGGAATGGACGGCTGGCGGGTCTTACGGATTGGAGAGCAAGACAAGTGTCGTGCTCCAGAAGACGGGGCTCGTGGTGGACGATGGCGTTCTGATGTTGGAGGGATAGGCGGTGGAGGGAGGTAAGTCTGGGTGTTTAACGAAAGGTCGTGACTGGGAGCCGAGGCGTTTCGCGGTTGTGGCATATGGATCATGAGTCCAGCCGAATTGGGATCGTGGACCTGGTATTCATACGGCAACTCCGCATGCTGAGCATGCATGGCAAGGTTGAGACTGGCGTTTTTCTGCTGTTGCTGATCGGCTACAACATATTCTCCATTCTGGTTTAAAAGATTTAGATCCCACCACCCGCTTTGATGAGGGGTTTGGGTCATATACTCTTGCCCTGGCCATGTCTCGGGGGCAGCACCCACAACAGTAACAGGTTGCTGGTGTGGGTGAGGATGAACATGGGCTTGTGGGTGTGGGTGTGGATGAGGATGAGCATGTGGATGAGGATGGGGATGGGGATGGGGATGGGGATGGGGATGCTGGTGTGGATGAGGGTGTGAGTGCGGGTGTTGCTGATGCTGCCAAGCTGACTGAGGAACTTGCCCTGCCATGTCGGGATGGTAAAGGCCAGGTTCAGTCTTGACTCCTGGGGATTCTGCTGGTGTGTGGATTCCGTTGGTGCTGAAAAAGCGGAGAGAGTTGTTCGGAGGCGGCTGAGGAATTTCACTAAAGGGATCGTCACAAAACCCATGAACAAAGTTGGTGCTATCCGGCCCGCATGTCGGCGATGGGGGGAATGCGTCATTACCGTTGCTATATTCGTGATGCTGCAGGCGCAAGGCCCGAGGAGGATTGTCCATGGTCGGAGAGCCTGGGCGGTCTATGGCAACGAGCTTCTTGGGTTTGCGAAGTTTACTGGCTTTACGAATCGTGGATGAGAGTGCCTCGACGAATTTGTTGGGTTTCCTGGCCATTGTGTTGGGTGGGGTTGGCGATGATGGTTGTGAAATAGGCACCCGCTTCCCAGGTGAAGAGTGTAATGAAATGCCATCGACTCGGGGCAGTTCTGGGTCCGACATAGAGACTCGAGGCACTAGGGGAGGCTTCTCATCCGCCAGTCCAACGACACTCGCAAGTGCGAGGCTTCGAGGATCGACCTCATGCGATGCACTTGCGACAGCGGATGAGGCTGGCTGAGAGGGGATTGTCGCGTCGACCTGAGAACTGCAAGAGAAGAAATCGAACTCATCTTCAGTTGTTGAAACGCCTGACGAGGCAGATGCAGTGGACTCGGCGGGATGGTCAAGGATAAGTCCATTGGCTAGGGCCGGCATTGATGGATTATGACCGTGTGGATCGGCCATAGAAGATGGGATTTCGCCATCAAAGTCGAGAAACTGACCAAAGAAGTCGTTTGCTCCATCGTTAGGTCCATTGTCGATATCCTGCCAGTAGAAGCCTGGGTCGCGGTCGACAGCCTCAACCCGATAGGGCAAGGTCCAAGAGGCCATTGGGATACTGGACTGCTGTTCTGCGATAGTAGTTGAAGCTGATGGGTGAGGATGTAATGGAGGCGTGGTCAGCCAAGCGAGTCACCTAGGGCTGGCTGAGAGAGTTACGGAAGACGACGAAGATGTCGAAGTGGAAGTGAAGGTTGATGGCATGAATGAGGTGAGAGCCAAAAGAATGGCAACGGAGGGAATGAAAAGAAGGAGCCAGACCCGGAGCCTGAGGAGTCTTTGAGCGATAGTGAGAAGAGAGGCGAGAGGCCTGGGCCAGTCAGAGGCAGCAAAACAAAGTTCAAGACGAGCAACAAGGGACTCGGCCGGTAAGCGAACGAGACCTGGCAAGGCGTGGAGATGGCCGAAGTCAAGTCAATGGAGCAACGGACAAGCTAGCAACGGGTACCAGAGAAACGGGCAAGACACAGGGACAAAAATCAAGGTTGGTCTTCGCTGAGAATAGTAGCAAGATATTGATGAACAGGGTCAGAATCAGGGTCATGAGAGTAAGAAAGAAAGGACTACGAATTCACTCTGGCGCAGCAACGAGACCGTTGGGTCGGGTTGCTACTTGGATGAGGGCGATTTGAGTGCGACAGTGGGAGGAATGCACGGGGCTATGAGGGAGCATTCCATTGAGAAAGATTCTCGTGTCATTGACTGATGATTGACCCCCTTTTGTCTGTTCCGAATGGGAATTTAAAGAGGACGATCTCTTCCGTGTTGCAAATGTTAATTAATCGAACGAGTGATATGTTTACATATGATTGAAATTGGTTTCGAGGAAATAAATGACATTCGCCATGGATTGACGATTGAGCGTGAGTGAAGAGTCACGACTGACATGACTCTCCTGAGACGGCAAGTGGTGATGCTCTGGACGCCCGAAGCCACCCAAGACTAAGTGGCAGAGGCGCTGGGATGGGCTAAAGTAGAGTTTACGGGTGTACCTACGTTAGCCTAGCATTAGCATTAGTATTTATGGGCGGGAAGGGCGAGAAGGCGACAGACGAGAGGCGAGAGGGGGGAGAAGAGAGGAGAGGAGAGGAGAGGAGAGGAGAGCGTTAATGGGAAGTGAGCGTGCGAAAGTTTGAGTTGGGCCGGTTGATCATGAGCGGAGCGTTGCTTTCACCTGGACACAGGTACAGAAGTGTAGAGTTTAAGTGCTCGTTCGAATTGATCAAAGATTGACGGTGTGACGTTTAGTGATGATCTCTCCACGAAAGCAAAGCATCGCATTACGTCTGTTGCAGCACATCGCATCTATCTTGGTTTTAGTTTCTGATATTGATTCTGGTTCAGGCTAACAAAGCCCCTGGTTGCTTTCTAGTGCCCCTGGTCCTGGCCTGATCCTGGCTTCGTGTACTGTACCTTGCAGCCCCGGCAAAATAAATTGGTTGCATTGCATAGTTGCATCTGACATGACATCCAATACAG